TTATGCCCACAATTTTATTTATTGAATTGTCTATTTTTGTTATTGTTTATGTTAAAATATATATATATATATATTTGTGTTGATAAGCCTGAGTGGTCTGTTGACTGACAGTTCAAATAATTATGGGCAGGTTACAATATAAAATGTTTTTTGTCATAATCACATCTTGTGATTATCTGACAGGAGTTTTACTTTTAAGTGTCCTTAAAATACACTTACATGTAAGTGTATTTATTTTAGTTATAATGTAAATATAATAAAAATTAAACCAAGATTTAGAATAATTACATTTTGATCCATACATTAGTAATGTCTGACGGGGCCTCGTGTCACTTTATGTTCAATAAATTGGGCCCCGAGGTCAAAAAGGTTAAAAACACCTACTTTGCAGTTTTATATAAAGAAGTAGACAGATGATATAAATAGAAAACAGTTCTGTTTACATTTAAAATAAAAGTGTGAATGCCAAGATGTGGAGMACTGACTAACTTGTTTAATTTTAGAAATAAAAACTAAGATAACTGAAAATAAAGCAAGACAGCAAGACGAGAAAAGAAACACTGTCTGAGAACCAGTAAATAACCGTATGATACGGTTTAAATCTTCCTAAAAATGTCATCTTTGTGCATGAGTGAAAATGAATGTTTGTTGTGGCAGTAAAGTGAAACTACACAGTGACCAAGACAACTAAGTGTTTTTGTAAACATCTGAGCGCAGATGCAAAGCAGAAATATTGTGTGCCAAAGTTTCAAGCACATCCTCTGTTTTAGTCTTGGTTGAAAACAATTCAATCACAAATTAAGCCGACCAATCAGAAAACAGCTGCTGAACTCTCACTGCATCTTATGTGACCTTCAGACTCTAGAAATAAAATGTAAACAATCTTTTTTTAACTTCAAAATCTTCTAGTTCAAAAATTTAAACGTATGAAACTTGACTTCCAACTAAATACAGTATTTATACAGGCGTAGCCTACGAATACCTGGTGCTGCCATTCGGTCTGTCTCTGGCGCCCCGCACCTTTTCAAAATGTGTCGAAGCGGCGCTATCTCCTCTCAGGGAGAAAGGAGTTCGCCTGTTAGCGTACCTGGACAACTGGGCTCTGACAGCCAGCTCCAAGGAGCAGGCTACAGAGCATCTGTCTCAGGTYYTGTCGCACATTCAGGCTCTGGGTTTTTCTGTAAATTTTCAGAAAAGCTTATTGACTCCTGAGTCAGCAGTTTTCTTTCCTCGGGTTAGAAATATGCTCCCTGTCGGGCAGAGCGCGTCTCTCAGAAAACAGAG